TTTTTCTTTCATAAGTCGCTTAACTTGCAAAGTGACGTTTTCAATCCACTTACCTTTTGAAGTAAACGTCTTCTTCTCTCTTCTTTTTTGTTTTAGGACAAGGGGATTTCAGTGTACGAATAAAAATCAGACAAAAATATCAATGAACAATTTTCTTATATTTTCCACATATACGGCACAATGTGACCCATATCCGATCAAGTATATGTTTAATATAGACTTATTTTTATATAATAATATTCATTAATTGTATAATGTAATAATATTTATGTACAATGGTACTAAACTGTACACACAATTGGCAATAAGTTCAGCGAAGCTTAGATGCGGCTGCACTAGCGTGACAGTAGGTGCGACAGCGCCTCAGCGCCAACAAATCAAAGCTTATTTGTATAAATTTTGTCAATTTTTTGAGTTGCAAAAAAATGCTTATTGCTCGTTTATTTTCTTATTGCAAAAATCAACCTACTTAGATACAATAAGTTTCAGTAAAAAACTCTATTGCGTGTTGAATAATGTAATAGGCTCTCAGCTATATTATATCTATACGCTCTCTACTGTTTTTTCTTTCTCGTTTCTGTTTTTTTTAAAATTTTTTTTTAAAATTTTTTATTATCAATGTTTGATTCTCTGAAAAACTCGTGGTCATTACATGGCACGAACAACAAGTACTTGGTCATAACAAACTACTATATTATTACAAAAGCAGAGACACATCGATTTAAAAATATCGATTTGTTTTTAAAATAAATTTTGCAGGTAGCGATTTGTCTAAGGTTTTTTTTTTAAATAGAGATTTAAACAGAGAATCAGACATTAAAAAAAGCCAATTTTTACATTTATAAATATTTCTTTTTTTAAATGTAAAAGATCACGATTTGAGAGGTTAATCTAAAAAACGTAGATTGGTGTTCAGCTCGTAAGTTATATATAAAAAATCATGTTTAAATAGGTCCATACAGCAGATTTCTTTTTTTTTTATAATACTGATACAGTAAGTGTTATAAAAAATATAGGCAGAGCTTTATAATTTATTTAATAGGTTTTTTCTCGCTCTGGTGATACAACAGTAGGATGTTTGTAAATGATAGAAATATAGTTTGGTGAACTGTATAAAAATGGACGAAATTGTCAAGAAATGAAAGGATAATTTCAGGATCGACAAACAGTACGTCTAATCTAATTTGCAGACAGATTTGAATACTGTGGAAAGCGCTGGTACATTCAGCAGTACACCGAACATCTACGTTACACCGATATTACAACAGAAATAACATATTATAAGGCCAACGACTTTTTTTTGTATCATGTAAAGGAACGAAATTACGTTTAAATTTTTTAAAATCTTTTCACTTTTTTTTTAGATATCATAATATATATATTGTCAGAATCCTCGATAAGAGGTAACAGGTAACCCCGGCGGGCGAATAAACATGCTAACAGCTAACACTACATCTTATAGACCACATTACTAGCGCAAGGAACACTCTTTGGAAGTTCCAAACATTTGGCTGGGAGCTTTCTCGTCGAAATATTTTAAAAAGACATTTTTTTTTTTCGTTTGAAGCAAATTAGCAAAAGATTGTTATTTTTCATCTTCTCACAAATTGGATAAATGTGATATGTTTCGAGTGTGAGTGGGACCAGTTTATTCATCTTCTAGTATTGCTAAATCTTTTGTTGGTAACAAACTCCGGTTCGTAAATAAAAATAAAAATTACACGGTAATAGAACACAAAATAGAGGAAAAGAAGACCCAAGAAAATCTGCTAAAACAAACAACCTGTCCGTGGCGATTCGTATCAACTTATTTTGAAGCAGTATCACATTCTTTCGCACATGTCTTTTTATCCTAAAATTCCCTAATGATCTGCTGTCGACACTTCATCTATAGGATGGACTGCACCAAGTAAACGAGTACAACCGTGAAATAAAAAAAAAACGACTATCCAAATAAAACTAGTCACATCTTCGGCTAAATAATAAGTTTTCTTTCTATTTTTTATATTTAAATTTATCCCTTATATAAATATTGTTCAAATATGAAAAAATATATTTTTTTGTTTAAATTTTAAAACAATTTGAGTACAAAACATCATTTTATATTGCTCAAAAATTCTAATAATAGTCACTTTAAATTTTTATCAATTTAAAGTATTAAAGCTGCCGTAGAAAAGTGAGATCAAATTATATTTGATTCATAAGTTATAACCGTGTTTTGAAAAAATTGTAATCGGAATTAATATCACATACATCTTCAGCGTTTAAGCAAAATTATACAAAATGTAAAAACTTGTTTCTAAAACTCTTTTCTTCGTCGTCAAAAAATCTATCCGAGAATAATAAAAATTCTAAGTTTTTTTTAAAAATCTTTAAATTTAATTTTAAATATTGCGCAATACAAAAAAATCGTTACAAATTTGTTCAATCCCTCGCTGTTTCACAGAAACAAGTAGAGCAATTTATCCTCTAACGAAAGTCGAGTTGTATGTATACTATAACCGATTACCCTACAGTCTGGGAAGTATGGCCTATCAAAAGTCTCCTTTCTAACCGCTAGCCCATTATGGCCTATATCATATAGGATAAGCTACAGTAGTCAACCTAACAAATACTCAACAACAACAAAACAATAACATCACAACTCAACAAAATAAATTACTACTTCTGGCCTAATGCTGGAAATAGGAGTCGAAAATCAGTTTTACAAAAATGACATTTTTTTCCTTTTTTTCCCCTTAAAAAAAGTAAACACGCGTATGTACAGAATTGCTAGGCTACACTGAATCCGTAACGTAAAGTCGACCATTTTTATTTTCTCTCTCTCTCATATATATATAAATGTATATACACACAATCATAAGTATATATATACATACATATATACATATACATGTATATACATACACATATATGTATACATATATAATATAAATTTTCGTATATTCATATGTATACAGCATTGATTAAAAAGATGTATTCATATGTATATTTTTTAAATATATATATAATTATAATTTAGTCTATAATCGACAGTCATTATATTATATATAATAGTGCTCTATAGATGGAACCGAGACAAATACTACTCTATTATGTACAATATTACAATGATTATGCTGTATACAGTAGATTTAGCCTTTTCATATATTTGGTTTTTGTTTAATAAATTGGCAAAAAGACAATACTGTTTTTTTTAAAAAGCAATACAAGTATTAATTGTAGCTGGTGTAAGTGGAGGGGATTTTTTTTTTAATTAAATCAAATTTTGTCAATATCAACTATTTAACTACGATTTTTTTATTGTTAATTATACACGTATGCGTGTATGTATATACATTCACAGACACATGTATAATCGGAATTTGTTCGTTTTTTTAAATTATTTGATTTCTCTCTAATGACCTCGGAGCAACGATACTTTATTGTCATTCGCTTTCTTGGGATTTACCGAGGAAAGAAAAATTTCATAATAAAAATATATTGTATACAAATTAAAAAATTACTGTGATCCGTTTTGCCGAGTGTGACTGATACTCATTGGGGGCTCCTTCAATCGATAATTCTAAATCACAATTAGCCACCTCTCTCTAACACTACCACGCGCACATTAATAATTTTTCGCTTTATTTATTTTAAACTTCTTTTATATATATATATTTATATTAATTCATTTTCTTTTTTTTTTTAAATCTTCAATCTATATTATATAAAAAGAGTTTTTCAAAAATTGAAAAAAAAAGATGATAAAAATAAATTTGCTCCTAAAAATTACGCATAAAAATAATGTTCAAACTTAAACCAGCTACATTACAGAGACGGGTCCTCACATAAAATTGAGTACACTATTACAATACATTATGATTTAACATTAGTTCATGGTATCAAAATACAATATATTTTCATTTACAATCATTCATTTTTCTGTTCATAAACTTCACAAGCTGCCTACATCGAAAAGACAATAATTCTTATTTATATATGTATATATATATGTATACATATACATATTTATCAATGTATATGTATAATATATATCTTTATAGTATTTACTAAAGTACACATTAAGTATTGCTTTTGTTCTGAGTTTATCTCTCTTAAACAACAAGGTTTTCACAGGAAATCGGGACAGGGAAGGGTAAGGGATAATGGGAGGGTGTAAAAAGGCAAGAGGTCAGTAACACCATCGTATAGCTAAGGTTTATGTATAAATATATATATTCAATTATGTATATATAATATGTATAGACGCACGCATCACCGACTGACTTACATACCGTATTGCTCTTTTTTTAATATAATCCCGAACCCACACATTTCTTTCTTTCATTTTTTATATATATATAATATATTCTTATATAACAAACCCAGTTAGTTATCAACAATTATCAATCGGAGGCCATTTTAATGGCCCCCGCTAGGAAAAGAGTGAGCTGTTTATAGTACACAGGGTCACATTTATTAGGAAAGGACGAGGAACGAGAGGGGTTGGTAAATATTTTTCTTCATATTATTATTTCTTCTTTTTCTTGCATTATTTACAATTATCAATATGATTTTATAAAATAAAAAAGTCAAACAATAGAAAAAAGTCATTCTCTATCATCAAGTCAAACATCCCCAAAAAATCTATTTTAAAACTAAATGTTGTTAATAAAATTTAAATATGTACAAAAAATAATTTAATACTTCATTTAGGCGTTGGCTTATTTTTCAACAATAACTATTGCGCCACGCTTTTTTTTTTTCTTTTTAAAGAGATTGTGTATACATTGGAGATATTGGTAGTCTTAACAGACAAGATCCTTTTTATTCTTCTTTTATTAAGATTTTATTTTCCTTTTATAATAATTTTCTATAATTTGTTTTATTTAGGCCTTTTTTTCTTTTTTTCCTTGTTCTTTAAATTTAAATATTTTAATTTTGAACTGCCTCTGATTTTTTTCTCTCACTAATACATTTTTAACAATTATTTTTGAATTTCACAAGCTAGTTATTTATTTTTTTTTCATTGATCTGTAGGCACTGAAAATCAAACACCAGTAAATCGCCTTAAACAAAATATTTCAGTGCTAAAACTCAATTTCCTTAACATTACCGAGTTGGTCCAAGGTGATTTGATTATCAATGGATATCTAGATACAATCAAAGGTCTCCTGTATTCCCATAGTAATAATTATAGAATACCCTGTGATTATTAAAATATGAATTTACTCTCTTAACAAAAGGATTAACAACGCTATATAATATAATAGACAATAGAGTATTTTTATTCATCGTCTTTTTTTTAACCCGAGTTCGTTTGTCTGGTTAAATTTCACATTAAAACAAAAAAAGAAAAGAAATGTTTTATTTAAAAAAAATCAGTTTTTCACGTTAATTGAATATTAATCCGTCTATACTCGTACTACCAATCACCTACCGAATAAGGATTGCAAGAACAACAATGTACAAAGACCCAAAAAAAAATCTCTATAACGTACTACATTTTAACACAATGGAAATAAAGAACCTTTTTTTTTTATTTCTCTCGTAATTGAAGAAATCCGTCAACAATAATAACAATTTTTAGCGATAATCGATAAATATTAATCGTACGTATGTGTTAAGTATAGGGTCGGCTCCTATAAACGGACGCGCCCAAATATTATTTACATTATAATTGTAAAGATTAAAATATTTCATGCATAAAAGTGAGCTTTGGTGTGTTTTTATATAATTTTTGAAAGAGTGGATGAGAGATCACTCTTTGTTTACACGCCTAAAGGGGAGTTGATTATGAAAATAAAGAGTAATGAATTTTTTTTATACCAAAAACACTACTAAAATTAATATTCTACTGGGTTCTCTTATGGGTATACAGTGAGTGGGTGACTCTTTGCTTATTTTTTCCCTTTAAATACAAGTTTACAGGGTGTGAAATCATATATACATAACCTTTCAACCATCCAGTGTATAAAAGTGTACATATTTGTTTTTGTGTTGTACACAAGTATACACAATAATAACGTGTATATATATTATGTTAATTAATGCATATGAATATGAATATATATATAATTCAGAGGCTGGTTGTGCAAAGATTGCACAATATAACTTATACACTAGGTTGAGAGGGTGCGAAGGCCGCCTGCTCACCTGCACACAACATACACACATATTGTACATATGGTTTTACATACAGACTTTCTATTTAACCACTACTAGAGGTCTATCTACCCTATCTGACCTGTGACAAACCCTCCTCAATGGTAACCATTGGTAAATGCAGCTGGTATCAACGGGCCCTGAAAACAGAAAAAACACAAGAAAAGATGAGTTTTGGATCCAATCTTTAAAAAACTAGTTAAAATTCATACATTATTTTCATTAAAGCAGTGTGAAGTATGTACTACAAAAGATATAAATCGTTAATTTATACTTTCTTATTAATTTCATAATTTATTCGACATATTGTAAAGTCAAAGTTGCTTTGGCTTAGCTTTTTTCCATCAAATTAAACTTTTTAACTATGTAGCGTTAACCCATTTTAACTTCAAGTTAATCATTTTTCATTTAAAATTAACCCTTTCTTTAAGGCAACCAAAAACGAGGAGGTAAGAAGAAAAGCAAATAAAGTAAAAATTCCTATATATTTGCAATTTTTATTTAAATATAAATTAATTGATCTCTTAAAAACCATATGAATTAAGTAAAATTAAAAATTGTATGCGGCTTTTTTCGTCAAATGAACTGTTTCTAATTTTTTTTAAAACATACCAAGTATCATTAATAATTTTCATTCATGAGTGTACCTTGTATTAGTTAAAGGACAAAATGCTTTAAACCCTGAATTCCTCCCCAAACAATTTTTTAAATAAAAATGTTCAAATTTTATTTTGTTTTAGCGCATTTTTTAAATTCAAACTGAGATAAATTGGGAACTAAGACCGTCGTATTCTTGAGTTTTATTTTTCAGTTAACCGGTTTTATTAATTACTATACGACAAAAAATAAATTTTCCAAAGAATTTAAATAATCTATCAGAATTCTGACCGTCAGAATATTTTTCAAAGCTCAGTGACATGACCTAGGATTTTATGCGTGGTGGTTAGTGACCGTTAATCGATAATTATTCAGAAATCGTGAGATGCTGTCTGGTGTGATGAGGTTTCAGAAAAACATTTTCTTCATCGTACCAACTTTTCGATCTTTATTGAGATCATCTTCAGGGCTCAAAGTGTTTGTCTTCTGAGTAATTGTGCCATTCTTGCGTGTCGTGTTGAGAGTGCCCCAACGTTTCGATCTTTATTGAGATCATCTTCAGGGCCGGGGATTTACAAATATTGTTTAAATTTAACTAAAACATGTAGGGTGTGGAAAAAGTGAATTTATACAATGCAAAAAAATATTTTTTATATTCAATCAAGTATTTCTACTTATTCAACGTGTTTGTTTTCTGCGTAATTGTGCCATTCCCCAGTCCCTGAAGATGATCTCAATAAAGATCGAAGCGTTGGCACGATAAAGAAAATGTTTTTCTGAAACCTACATCACACCAGACCGCATATCACGATTTCTGAATAATTAGGATTTTATTTTATTCGCCCATTTTCCGCGTAATAGAAGTCATTTTACATGTCATGCATTAGGAATTTAAAATATTCTTTCACTATTTTGATTTTCCTAGTCTGTGTATTTTTGTCAATAGTGGTTTCTATTGATATTTTTGATGTCCTATTTAACATTTATCGTTCTATATATTAACGTTTTTATGTTTTGTAAGACAAACCGAAACGCGTCTTTCAACAGCGAGGCCGGGCGGACGGTAGGCGAACGGCTTCGGCCAGGGGACAGTTCATCAACACAATTTCACACAAAAGCTAAGAGCGTTTATTTACTTTTTTTCTAACTTTCTTTAGTAAATTGAAATAAACTCACGATTCCTGAAGTCTTAGGGGCCGCCGTGAAGAGTCTTCTGCCGTAACTTCAAAAGGACAACTTCAGTCTTACTGGTATATCGTATAAAGATCGTAACGTTGGTAATCTTGATCCTGAAGCAATCGTGCAACTGTTTTGGTTTTGTATTGTAATCATATTTTTTTAATAAGAAGAATAAATATTGAAAAAAAGAAGAACAAAGTGGACATTACTCAAAATTAATTATGACGGAAATTTTTGAGGAAGAAGTATTTTTTTTTTTAAATTGGAGAGGAAACTCAATCTTTGTATTGACTTTTTTTTTGTTATACTTAAATATCGAAAGTTAAAACTTTAAACTTGAGATAATATTTAAATATAATCTTGATTATTTAGGATAATTTCTCTATTTGAAAATCGGACGCTAATTAAACGTAATCTTCTTAAAATTAACAATGATTGAAACAATAAAACGTTTAGCCAAATCCGGATTATTAGCCGTGAGCTGTTTAGTTATGAAATTTATTGACAACACGTTCCACTTGTGTCAAAATCGGATTCTAAACTTGCAAATACTAAGGAGAAAAGTTTTTTTTGGTGAGGCTTAAAAGATTTAAAAAACTTAAGAAATTATTTGTACAAAAGGCGGACTAAAGGCTTTCTCAATTGCTTCTAACTGTTGAAGTTAATTACTCGAGCAATTTAAAACGGGATGAATGTTAATTTTAAAATTATATTAAATTCCTTGGAATACCTCCTGAAAAGAATCAATTTGTTCAAAAGGGCTCGGATAAAAAAAAAAAAAAAAAAACAAGAAAAAAATTCGGCACAATACAAATATGAACAAATAGATTTAATTGATTAATTAATGATATCCGTTAAAACCAGTTCAGAACGTTTATTTACGTCCTTATTTACGGCTGAGAGGAATGTCAGCAATTTTGCTAATGTAATACTGAGAAGTCGTGAAAAGTGAGATTGCTCGGTTTCATTGCTCCTCTTTAAACATAGTGTCTCGATGGTGAAAACAAAACGTTATACTGTTAAATACATCGCAAAATCACTTGAAGTTTTCCCTTTTCTTGGATTTGGAATCAATAACTGTGAGATTTCCTTTACACCATTACACTATGTTAATTCAGGAAGATAAGAGTCTATTTAACTATTCGTGTCCTATTTTTTAATTGTTTAATCTGTTGGCACTAAAGAGCGAAGAAATCACCCAATGGTGCACCATAGTAGTCACTACCATACAGGTCTCGAACCAATATTGGTTTAACCTTCTGGGAAGATTATTATGGGGAATAGTTCTGTCCAAATAAATTTTAGCATTTTGTTGGTCCAGATGTGAAAACATTTGGTAATCTCTAAGAAGTTCATGCCTGTTCAGTTTAGTGTCACGGTGTGACGATGTACAGCCTAAAGTACGCGTGGTATCTATGAGAAAGTGGAGGCATCATTCCAGGCAGAAGGTACAGAACGTGAACTACTGTTGCTTGTACCTTGTGTGAGAATTACTGGGAATAGTGCGGTACGATAATGGATAAATAACAATGGATTAGTCTTGGAGGTGTATGGTAACCTAAGTTCTTGGCTTTCCGGTTTAGTACGTAGGTTTCAGATGCTTGTCGAGATACTGCTCAATGTGGCAGACGTGTTGCATGCCATTTAAGTTAAGTGTAGTCATTACTCCACGGCTGATGGTATTTATTACGTTTCACTTTACCTTGTAATAAAACCCAACCCTGTAATAGTCACTATTTGTCATACTGTTCTACTGGTTTGCTTTAACCTTCTAGGTAGATTAATCGCAATAGTGCTCTAAGTCGTATTTTCGATTCTCCAGAACTCTTAGAGGTCTTTGTAACATTTGTGTTTCTGCCTTTTCAGTCTACATGTGAATTTCAGGGTAGTTTTTTGTCTAGGTACTGCTCAAGGTAGCGGAGCAGGTGTTTACCTGTAGGAAGGACATTTAGATTTAGTGGAGGTATCATTCCAAGGGAAAAGGTAAAAATTACGTTAGGGCTTTTACCTTAAACCGAAAGCTCTATTAAACCACCTTATAGTGACTATCAGTTTCACTATCCTACAGGTCGTGAAATTGGATCGCTTTAACCTTTTGGGAAAATTATTGAAATAGTGCTGATAATTTTATAACATCTTGGAAGATGGAGAAAAAGAATATGGTCATTAGACGATGGAACCCTATAATTCGATGCCTGTGCCTAAAACGGTTTTTTAGCATAGTGTTGTGTACGATTCGTTGTTTTCGTTTATACAGAAGTGTAAAATTTTTTGTTTATCACTAAATACCTGACTTGGCAAGTTGAAGCACTGCTCAAGATAGCGGACGTGGCTCCATTCAGGGAGGAATATGTGATTTATTTTAGTGGATACCTTATACCAAAGACCTAACCATCTAGTAGTCAATATTAGTCTCACTACCCTACATATGTCGCAAAACCACTTTTGCTTTATCCTTCTAGAGGATTCTTGCGAATAGTGCTCTATGCTTAAATAGTTTTATTATGTACATGTCATTTTTCCGTTTTGAAATTGTTAGTAAGTCCATGTTCCTGCATATTCAGTCTAGTGTGAGAGTTTCAGGTTAGATTTTGGTCGTTGTACTACTCAAGGAAGCTGAGAGTAGGATGTAGGAAAGCATATTCGATTTATGTTTAGTGGAGATACGTTCCATGGGAGAAGGTAAAGGAAGCTTAAGCTTTTGATTTTACCAAAAACCCAACCGTATTATAGTCAGAATGTAATCTCCTGACCTACCAGTCGAGAAATAGGAAGATTTAACCTTCCTGAAAAATAATTGGAATAATGCGGTATACCTGAAAAATACAGAGCCTGGTGAGAAATGATGGTGATAGACGACGAAACGTTGCACCCCATAGTTTGATGCATGGATTGGATTTTAGCAGTTGGTTATTAACCAGCATATTTAGCAGTAGGTATTGTAAATCAGTCATTTTTCCTTCGTCCAGAAGTCTTGAAGGTGTTTGGTAACCTCAACTAGACGCCTGGGTCGTGGGTGGGTTCGATTCCCATCGTTGCCCATGGCTCTTTTTTTCACTCTCCCCTTTCCCCATTAATGCATTATCAAATACACCCACGTCTTCCTTAGCTAATATGCTATGTTCATAAGGCCATTACCAAAAGATTTCTTACCTTTTCAGTCTATTATATGAGTTTCAGGTTAGCTTTTTGTCGATTTACTGCTCAAGGTAGACATAGTTGACTATAGATGTATGTAATATAGGTAGGGCGTTCGACTAGTATTTGCTAAGATAGCGGTTCTGGGTTTGATGACCTTGGGAAGTTTATTTGAGATTAATTAGGAAAAGCAATGCAAAATGGTTCTGATCCCTTGTCTTGGGTAGTTAGATAGCTTTTCTGTAGGACTGGAATGAGGTGGTGTTATTATTCTATGATTGTTATCTATGCCCTGTACCTAAAACTATACCTCATCTGGTACTAACAGCATGGACTTACGCGAAAAGCAGCAAGCGGAGTAAAACTAAATGCCGAATCTTGTTTGAAAAAGGACACGATTGACAGAATCACGCAGACGCATCGCTGAAGGTGGCGAGAAGGTAAAACAATTCTGATAGGCCAAAATGATCGGACCAACGTTAGTTATAAATGCTCCTGACAGAACATTTTATCCATTTTAGAGAGTGAACCTCCACATTTGCCATTTTCACCAATTGGAGAGCCATTGGATAAATTATAAAACAGACAATAACGCCCATTCCCTACATCAAACCCGACCCGAGCGAGCCTCTTTAAGAGTAATAAACACCAGGGATTATTGGGGCAGTTTGGCTCGGTTCCACCTAAAAGCCAGCATATTTCCAGAAGCAAATCCTTCCCCTCCTTCCAGGGATTACATTGGCCCTGTACGGCACGGAGGCCCTTAGCAAGAAAAGGACAAGGACCAATGATGGGGAAAAATACCCGCTCTGCCGTGATGTTTTCTTTTTACGATTATCCCGAACAATAAAACGAATGATTTTACGATTTCGTTAAAATATAAAACATAAAAGTAATAAAATATTTTACGCAACCAACCGATTGACGTGGTTAAGATTAATAAGGCATAATGAAACTTTTCAGTGACCATTCTTTCCAAAAGCACTAATGTCTTGTACATGACCTGTCCTAGTTTCAAGAACCCTCATAAATTCCCTACTTAGGTTTATGAGCAAGAAAACATTGTCAATAAATCACTTTTGGCCTTAAAATCGAATTGAAATGTAGGGTCGATCTAGGATACCAAGATATATTGTTGGAGGCATTATTCTATGATTGTCATCTGTGCCCACTGAGAAGACACCTCTTCGTAATGGGTATCCTACCAGATCCCTTTTGCCGCTTCTGCGAAATAAAAGAAGAAACGGCAAGGAATTACCTCGAAGAGTGTGATAGGTATGTTAGGTCTAGATTTGAAATCTTTGAAGGAGAGGACATCACCAAATCACTCCCCGAGATAAAATGGTCCAAAATCTTGGGGTTTGTGAACAAGTCCAAGAGGTTTATGCAGGACACGTGAGCCGACCAAGTCGCGGACCTTTTAGGGATGGGGTACGAGTCTACCCAGGCATTTACCCCCTCGGGTCTTGGTCGCCCACCCTGCATAATATATATGATTGTTATCTATGCCCTATACTTAAAACCATACCTTCATCTCGCACGCGTGGAAGTGAAAAGCAGCAAGCGGACTAAAACTAAATGCCGAATCATCTTTGAAAAAGGATACGGTCTAAGATAATGACGTCAAGCTGCTCCAACACAGGTTATTCGTACTCTATAGTTAAGAGCCCAACCTTATCAGGTTAGAGTTGATGCATGCTGGGTGTAAGTCTGCGGGTCGGTGAACTCATTGCCGAAAGGGCCACTTATTGCCCAAACGAGTACCGGCATAGCGCCATCTTCAATGAGGAATTATCAGTTATGAAGATCCAGATAGAACTAAACCCTAACCATCCCTAAACATACGTTTCGAACTTTATTGATATCATCTTCAGTGCTCCAAGTGTTTATTTTCTTGTGTGTCGTGCTGAGAGTGCCCCACACACAATAAGACAAGAATGACACATCTACACAGAAAACAAACACTTAGAGCACTGAAGATGATATCAATAAAGTACGAAACGTGTGTGGTGTTTAGTTAGTCAATGATTATTCGGAGATCGTGAGATGCGGTCTGGTGAGACGTAGGTTTTTTCCACATCCTACATGTATTTGTTAAATATAAACAATGTTTGTAAATCCCAGTCCCTGAAGATGATCTCAATAAAGATGGAAACGTTGGCACGATAAAGAAAATGTTTTTCTGAAACCTACATCACACCAGACCGCATCTCACGATTTCTGAATAATTATCAGTTACGTTAATCACCTTTATAAGGCATCAGAAATATAAAAAAAAACAGGCTTCAACTTGGACAATGAAAATGTCGCAATGAACCGGTATGTTTTTCTGATCGATCAACTATGCTTTTCAATTTTTCGGATAAAAGTGTTCAAGGGTTGTTCTTTTTTTCTCTAATAAAAAAAAGCTTTACGTAATCGGAAAAACGAGCTTTTAGAAATTCTAATCAGCCTAATGGGCAAATTGACTAGCGTCAAAGAAAAGAAGGTATCAGCGGCAAGACGACATTGACATCCGGCCGAGCGAAGTGGTTTCTAATCTTGCCGAGTGCGTTGCAAGCATTGTGAAACTTGGGCTTTATCCAACGTTTATATATTTTCCCTTTTTTCTCTCCCTTTTTTGGGGGGCTCAAGACAAACAACTACCACTGCTTAGTTTGAAATGAAAGGCAGAAGAAAAAGGCCCATTAAGGATATCCCAAGGTGGACAGGAAGAGAAATGACACGTGATGAAACACTTTGAAATCTATTTCCTGATAGTTTTTGCAAAGAAAACTATCAAATTTTATATCTGGTCAATCAGGTTAAATTCAAAGACACAGTCTCATTATTACAAGCGTAATTCAACCTTCTTTCAGCCTTTCTAGTCCTCGTTTCGAATATATTTTGGCAATTTGAACCTCATATCGTCAAAAACGTGCTATGAAATTCTAATTACACACACCCATGATACAGAGATAAAATCGCAAAGATCAACCCCTTACAGGCACGAATTTTGATTAAGGTTCCGTCATAAGTTAAATTTTAATAACTTCTACCATCTGTGGCGGTAATTTCTTGACTTTAATCTTTGGATAATAAACCGAAACGTCTTTGCTCAGAGGTTGTTTGCAATTTCAACATCTTAATGTTCGGCCTTCTGTCTGCCTTGCAAAACGTGACCCCTTCTTCGATATCTACGTACAAGTACAAAAATACCCGGTTTTAAGCTAAATAGGTAAGTTTTGATTCAAGTCGTAAAACTCGGTACCTATTAAAGTGAAATGTCAAATTCTAATTACAAAGCGATTTGGGCTAACTGTTTAACGATCGATGCTTTTTTCAAACGAGAATTACACATTAAACTTCTTTCCTAGAATAAACATTGCTATTTAAAATTGCATTATCCTAGTAGTAATCACGATTTGATATTTACGTATTTATTGATACAACGGGATCTGTGAAATTATGTAGGGATGAGGAGAACTGTTCTCGTTTATTCGCTGAATAGTGATCATCCCTTATGAGCCTATCCCCCTCCCCTTATATTATTTGTTATCAGATCTGTTTTTATTGATGTTACGTCGCTTGTGGGGAGTTTAATTTACGTCAAAATATGTCTGAAAAGGATTATACATGTCATTTAAAAGATTTTGTAATTTTCTTTAACGTCATATGATTCTTTATCTTTTGTTCCATTTGCTCATATTAGGGTTAGTTGAACTTGGTTATGTAAATTTTTAGGCAGTTTTCATTTAAAGCCTAAGCATTTGTTGGCAAACGGCCTTTTCAGGTAGGCCTTTATTTTTCATATTTTCAGAAAATATTTTTCAAGTAACTAGTGCTTTTTAAGATTTTAGTCCAATAAAAGCAATCTCTTTAATAATATATATATACAATTGTTTATTTTAAATAAATAAATTGAATAATAAAAAGTACTGTGTGGTGATTAGTGACCGTTAATCGATAATTATTTAGAAATCGTGAGATGCGGTTTGGTGTGATGTAGGTTTCAGAAAAACATTTTCTTTATCGTGCCAACGTTTCGATCTTTATTGAGATCATCTTCAGGGCCTGGGATTTACAAACATTGTTTATATTTAACAAATACATTTTGGATGTGGAAAAGTGAATTTATACAATGCAAAATATATTTTTTATATATTCAATCGAAGTATTTCTACTCACTCAGTGTTTGTCTTCCGTGTAATTATGCCATTTTTACACAGAAGACAAAAACTTTGAGTGAGTAGAAATACTTTGATTGAATATATAAAAAATATATTTTGCATTGTATAAATTCACTTTTCCTCATCCAAAATGTAGTTGTTAAATGTAAACAATGTTTGTAAATCCCAGGCCCTGAAGATGATCTCAATAAAAGATCGAAACGTTGGCACGATAAAGAAAATGTTTTTCTGAAACCTACATCACACCAGACCGCATCTCACGATTTCTAAATAATTGATAAACAGTAAATTTTAATTTCGGAGTGTTTGGATCTATATTTGTCAAATTTATTACAACAAATATAAACATATTAGTAAGGTTAATGGGAGAACCCCTCGTAAAATAAATTCTGAAGTAAGCTTTTCCTCTGTACATGAATTATTTATCCAACAAAAAGTTCCGGTGTTAGAGAATATTTCTCAAATTTTAATTTTTGTTATTTCAGGGTTTTTTTCGGGTCGCAACAGCAGAGGTTATATCAACCCTCGGGGTGCCGGTGTTTTTGAAAAAAAGCCCATTAGTAAGTTTGTCGGGTTCGAATGCAGGGCCGCTGGATTCGAACCCGGGACCATTACCTTACAGTGATGGGCGCCGTGTCAACGCCTAAACCGTTGCGGCCACCGACGCCCCTCATTTTGTTGTCATATAATTTTCTTCCTTTATCACAAGAACTAGTCTAACTATAAAAATTGTTGTCATTTGTTAAATATTATGTTTTTTGGGGGTTAATTGCATGATTCACTTATTTTTGTTTATTTATTTTAAAATTTAAGTAACTTACTGGATTAATAAAACTAAATTCTATGAAACATCATCTGGAAGAAATAGTTTTTCCGCTTTCTATGCGTAAATAGAAGGGACGAACTTAAATTTTGTAAAAAATGTTTTGATAGAAATGAAAATAAGCCAAATTTTGTCAACCTTTTTCATGAGATTTAAGATTTAATAAGACCAATATTGAAAACTAACAAGGTTCAGGTTTAATTCAGAAGTTATTGATTTTGCAAGGGTTGCATTAGTTTTATACAAAAAAATTCATGTCAAAAATTGAGACTACACATTTCACACACTTAAAATTAATTCTTATATCGAAACTAATTATTTGTGTTTTAGAGCAAACATAGATTAACATATTTTTGCGAAAAATATACTCACAGGGTTGTAGGTGATGGGTGCCCTGCTGACAGCTATGGTGGGGAAGCCTGAGGATTGAGGGCTGGCAGCCTGGACGTAGCCGACGCTCTCCGCTTGCGGAGGTGCTGTTGTTGATGTGTACATGTCGAGGGTCGGCCCGGGGGAATTTGCACCCGGGAAGCCTGCAGCCCTCGGGGTGTGCGGACTCGCGGGAGGTCCGAATCCGCTGGCAGCGGCCGCCGCAGCCGCTGCCGCCGCAGCCGCCTGGTAGTTGTTCATGACTAAACCGCCACCAACAAAACATAGCAATTATCTACTTGCTTAAATATTTGATACATATTTTTAAAAAGTTCAAGAAGGCACATTTCAATTTACACAATAATTCATTGTTTTCTTGCATTACCACTTCTAAGGCATATAAAATATACGTTTTTGGGTTATATTAGTAAAACATGCACAATTAAATCGAATTAGTTAATGTAATATTGTATAACAATTATAGCTTATAAATATTTGATCCAAATCATTTCTGGCCTAACCGGTTTGCGCTACTTAACGTTTAATAGGAAGGACCTACTTATACAAACTGCTAAAACATGTATGTCTGCTCTCAGCTAATTACTTTTTGACCTTAATCCTTTCTAGTCATTTTACAGCTAAAAAAATCATTTGAATGACACTTCAGAAACATGTGTGGCTAATAACTAATTAGTTGAGCACAACTCTAGAAATCTCGAAACCCACTTGGACAACTCGGCTGAAGCATGTCAGCTCTTGCATATAAAAGCTATAACTTTTAACTAATAAATATTTGATCATACAAACCAACTTTTGCCCAACCAATATTTCTGTATAACGCTTAGCGGCCCAGAATAACTTATGGATCATTAATCTGGTGGAACAAAGCTCAACAAAAAGTAGCTACCTAAACATTAGGCAGCATACAAAGACTAGCAAACATATGCATCACAGGGGCAATGAGAACAACCCCTACAAATGCATTACAAACTTTGCTAAACTTACCTCCTCTAGAATTATTCATACAAGGAGAGGCTAGGAAAAGCTCACTTAGGCTCCAGAAACAATTAAATTGGAAAGGAACTAAACAATTCAGGCATACAACCATCAATAAAATCAGACACCCATTATTAGAAATGGGGACTGATTATATGTTCCCGGAAACAATCTTCACAACTTCCTTTAAAGCCTCAATATAAAGGAGAGGAAGAACAGGAGAGCATCAGATACAATGATATGGTACCCAGATGGCTCCAAAACAAACGAAGGAACCTGATCGGGTGTTTTCTGTACAAGCCCAAAACATGAGCAATCAAACTCATTAGGGAAGTACACTTCGGTCTTTCAAGCAGAAATACATGTCATCAATGCTTGTGCCCTGGAAAATCTTAAAAGAGGTTACACTGACAAAAAAAATCCTCCTAAGATCTGATAGCCGAGCAGCCAATAAAGCTTTACCATGTAAAAGCATCACATCAAAATTAGTCAGTGAATGCATCCAAAATCTTCAAACCTGGGGAAACACAACAACCTGATGATATCTTGGCACAGGAAAATTTTGGGTAACGAGAAATCAGACAGTCTGGCCAGATTACGATCCAAGATCATACATAGGCCCCGAACCTATTCTTGGGATAACAAAAACAAATACAAAATCCTCCATCGCAGAATGAATCCAAACAAAACAAAAGGAGAAAGGGATAAACTCCAGCGGCGCTAGACATAATAAACTTATGATAAAACAACCCTCATCAAGACTGGCAAAATCATTGCTCAATTGGAGAGGGCCAAACTCAGAGGAGTGGTAGGACTACTAACCGGTCACTAACATCTGAGAAAACTTCTACACAACGTGGGCATATACAACGATGATCCCATTTGCAGATTATGTAATGATGAAGAGGAAACAGCCACTCATATCATCTTCGAAAGCGAAGCAACAGCTCAATGGAGATTTAACCTTACGTTCGGAAAAAAATTTAGGGAATCAAATTGCAGCAGCGACAGTCAATGACCTGATAGTTCTAAGGAGAAGGACTGAGTCTATTGTACTGAACTAAGGAACTAGGAAGTACAATAAGCCAGAAAGCTGCAGTGCCTGGGGAGCACAAACCCCGCTTCATAGTATCCTTTTTAACCATACCATACCAACGCTTAGCTGGAAAATCTTTTGAACTACAGTCCTATATACTCCGTAAGCCTCTTGGGTATTACTGCTCAAGGTTCATATAAAGTCTATAGCTCTTAAATAGTAAATAATTGATATAAAACGATTCTGGTCTCACCACTATTTCTCCCGAACGCTTATTTAACTGGAACGGAGGAACATTAACTGTAGATACCCGGAAAACCCCATGGACAATACGGGTAAAGCATGGGCTGCATGCAGATAATGACTGAAGTTTATTAATAAATATTTGAGCTAAATCAACTTGCTACAAGCAATCGCGCTGCTTAGACCTCATTGGGCAAGAATTGCAGCTGAAAAACCTACTGCTAGATAAACCGAAACCACGTTGACAGTACTGCTAAAGCGTGTGTGACTGCATGTAAAGACAATAGCGTTTACTAAACTATATTTGACGCATATTATCTCGGTTTAAACCGCGCTATTTAATGCCAGGACAGTAACTACAGCTGTACATACCAGGGAGACCCATTGTTCCATACTATTGAAGTACGAGTGACTGCACGTAATATATATACTTTATCTCCTAACAAATAAATATGTGATTAAATCGACTCTGGTCCAAACCAGTCTCTCTACTTATCCTTATTGCACAGGAGCTGTATATGAAAAATCTCTCTAACAATAATTACGTGGCTATTTACCCAACAGTATGATTTATACTATTTGTTAAGGCAGAAACAATTCTCGTCCGAATCCAAAACGAAAAAAGCCATTTTCGTCAATCACAGTCTGTCAACTATTTTTACAAACATCATTAGCGAGAACAGACGGACCGTATGGATTCCAATCAAACGTCTGTCAGCAGTCGAAACACTGGCTATGTAAAAATTGCCATCGTTGGCTTCATTGAACCAGTTTTAACCACTGGTAATTGTATCTCGTGCACGTATTACATGATTAATAAAAAGTAAATTTTAAGCCATTTTAATTTTTTTAAATTTAAAATATACACTGGTAGATTGTCGAATGGATTAAATATCTAATTATGGATTAAACCATGTTTTATCACAATCTGAACTTTTTTTATTACTTGGCATGGGGAGATGTAGCGTGTGAATCACCCTTATCCGACCTCTGACCTTTTATTATCACCGGAGACAATTTGCACCATTGACCACATGATAAAAAAATAATTGAAAATTAATTATATTAATTTCACTAGTTTCGTGGTCCGAGTATGAAGTATACCTCCACTAAGCTCTCCGTGGCCATTTCATTTGTCGCCGAGAATCAAATAGATTACACGACATTTGAAAAATGGCAAAAAGCAGGGAAAATTCAAAAGGTGGGGTTGAGACAGGTTAGTGTCCGAGTGGATCGAAGTCACGATACCTCAAGTGATTGAGCAGCGGCGTATCTAGCCGAAGGTCGTGGGTTCGAATCCCGCTCGTGACACTGACTTTTTTATCTCAACTAAAAACTTTAATTAATTGTAACATATTAATTGGTCAAACAGACCACGAAACTAGTGAATTTAATCTTGAATTAAGGGTTTGGTTGAGATAAATTTGAAAAATGGCAAAATGGAGAGAAAATTCAAACGGTGGGGTTGAGATGGGAAGTTGGTGTCCGAGTGGATCGAATCTCAAGTCGTAGGAGCAGCGGCGTATCTAGCCGAAGATCGTGGGTTCGAATCCTGCTCATGACACTGACTTTTTTGTCTCAATCATCTGTCATACTATTGAGCAACGTCAATTGTAATTTTGAAAAATGAGTAAAATAATCGAACCAATGAATACACCCCAACTTCACATCAGATCGTGAGACTACAGGCGCGGAAGATGTCGGAATGTCAAAAATCGTATGACCAGTGAAGCAAGATCAACGTAATTAGAAACTTCAAAAAATTACGATAGAGGTTAAATTGAAGTGTAACTTAAGTTATAAGGTACACCATCTGTATCAAGAGGAAGATTTTGTACCGTCTTTTTTATATTGCTATGAAAATGTAATATTTGAAAGTGATTCTTATTACAAGCCCTTTTTGAAATCGGATGTTTTATCATTTTCGTAACGATCTGCGTCGGAAGTTCTTACCCTCGGATCGATAAATCTCTGGCACCCGTGGGAAGGAAGATAAAGTAGTAACCCCGAGAACGGATAAGGTAGGGAGCCGAGAAATTCAACTTAGTCAATAAGAGTTAGTACGTTTTGGTTTACTCTGCCCTGTTTATCTTCCGCTGGGTTTGTCTTTTCCGTGCCCTGTTTGGGATTTATGTGTACAATTTAAATGAGGGGATACAGGTTCGGAGGGCGGCCCGCCGGCGCGGCGATCTCGTCCTTCTCCCTTAAAACCGTGGATATAATATGATTTGGGCCGTCATGTTTGTCGACGGAATTAATCGGCCACCCCGGTCACTTTTTACGCGCCGGCCTTTCACTAATTACTTTTCAATTTATGAGCCGGAAGGCTGGGAGAGGCATGTTTCCCCGACCGCACGGCCCTCAAATAAATACGCGATAATTAAATCACGCTTTCGCTTTTAGCCGGCCAAACTTTTTTCCCCTCTTGCAGTCCTGAGATCTCTGATTTACTGGAACTACATCGAACCGACTCTACGAACCCTCTGGTTAATATATTGGCGACCACTTTCACTCCCTCCACTTTTTTGTAATGTCTCTCAAGTTAAATAATTTTCGACTGTTTGGCCTAATTTTTTAAAGCACCAGGGCTTTTCTATTTCCGCGGCATTATGGCATTACCTTTTTCAGCAGAAAAGAAAACAATATTAAATTCTTTAAATTTTAACAACAAAACTGGGGACCGCGGTAGCCGAGTGGTTAGCATGAGAGACTCTCACGCCGCGGTCGTGGGTTCGATTCCCACCGTCGCCTCTGGCCCTTTTTTCCCGATAACCCCCAATTTGAACACACAGTAATTCGTACCATGGCTAATATGCATGGTCATAAGGCCAATAAGAAAAAAAAACAAAAAAAACAAAACAACAAAACTGACTAGTCCCTTAGCTAGGGGATTGTCAGAATAATCAGAACCCCAATTTGTACAAACATGCTCAGTAAAATTAATTTCAATTTCATCTTCAAGGATCTGCCGGGTGAAGAACTGGCACGAGTTTTTGCAATTTC